TATTAAAGAGGGTCCAACATTATTACTATTTTGTTGCTTGTATTACTGTTACTGTTTATAGTACTTGTACTATTATGCGACTCAAGTCTGGATTAGCTTCGAGAAAGCCATGACGTACGAAGATCAGAAAGCATCGAGAGTGGTCCGAACATGCGGTCGCTCGATCCGGCCAACGTGTCGCCAAAGCCCTAGGGCCCCAAACCCTAAACCTTAAAAACCCTAAGAACCCTAAAAACACTAACAACACTAGAAGACCTAAAAATCACTAAAAACCCTAAAAGCACTAAAAACCCTAAAAGCCCTAAACGTCTTAAAAACCCTTAAAAATCTAAAAAACGCAAAACCCTAAAAGCGCTAAGAACCTTCAAACATCGAAAAACCCTTTAAAAAGTCTGTAGGGATGATTTTGCGGAACTCCCAGGTCCGCCATTTAGTATGTAGGGCGTAGGGCCCACAACCTTCTAAATTATGCACGAAGGTAATGTAAATCTTGGGGAGATTTTGAGGGGATCCTAGAAGGATGTTGGGGGGGATCTTAGGTTTTGGGATTAGGGTTTAGGGTTTTGGGTTTCAGGGGGGATCTTGGGGGGGTCTCGGAGGGATCTTGGAATGTCTTTTTTAAGGAAGGCTTCGGTAGGAGGATGACCCCTATTTAATAAACCCCCTCATTTTTAAGCGCCTTTTAATAGTAGGATCCCTAGTCTAATCCCTATAAGCGGAGGTGGTTTATTAATCAGTTGTCTACAGTAGTGTTTCTACTCCGTGTAAACCATTACCATGACAATCTAACGTGTGGGTAGATAACGGAGAACCATACTTTAAAAATGTTCTGGAAGACCAAATGGCAGCGGATATCACATCAGGGTCAGGTATCCCTTTTGGGAGTCCTTTGAATCCACGACTCTATCGTCTTGAGGCATAAGAAACGGGAACCGCCCTCTATCATCTTGAGACCCTGGAAACAGACCCCGAATGTTCTCCTGAAGCATAAGAAAGAGGAGTCCCCCTTTATTGAAGATACCTGAGTAGTGTTTTTGTTGGTGGTTGAACCTAGTAAGATCATATTCCCTATATAAAGTACTATACCCCAGAGGGAGGATAGAATCTTACTCTATATTGGGTACCATAATATCCCCAAATAAGATACTACTCACCTGAACTGTCCTCATCCTCGAAGGGATTCGGGTTTCCCATGTCTTCCACGGGCTCCTCAGCAGTCTACGGTTCCGCCGAATCACTGATGATGTAAAGAATTGTTGGGAAATACCCAGTTGGTAGTGTCACAAAATAGAAGGACCCCAATATAGACCCCAATATACTCTAATCCTTAATATGGGGATCCCCAGAAGAGTACACCTAATTTCGGGAAACCACTATTTGTGGTTTGACAACTGCGGCCGAGCATCGTCAGGATCCAGAACCATCTGCGAGAAGTTCTGATTTATGCAGGAAGCTTCCTGGCAAGTTTTGGGATTTAGGATGTAGGTTTTAGGGTCTAGGGTATAGGGTCTAGGGTAGAGTTCGTGCAGGAATGTTGGGTTTGCCCCAGAACCCCAGGACCCTAGAACCCTAAAACCCCTAGAACCCCACACTCTGAACCTGATACCTTAAAACCCTAAAACCCCAAGAACCCCAAACCCTAAAATCCCTAGAACCCCAAACCCTAAACCCAAAGGTGCAGATGATAGCTTCCCAAATAAGGAGACCCGATCTAGACTCTAATATACTATAATCCTTATGATGGGGACCCCCAAGAATGGTACCCCTAATTTTGGGAAACCCTAAACCCTAAACCCTGAACCCTGAACCCTAAACCCTAAACCCTAAGCCTGCCTGGCCAAGCTTCACCGGTCCATTGATGCTTTCCTCTCAGCACTGTCATCACATGAAAGAAAGCACATCATCCCTTTTTAGGCTTTAGGGTGTGAGGGGGCTCTCTCTCTATATACTTCCTATATGACCCTATATACATATTTGTGCGTTTACATATGTGTGTGTGGGTTAGTGTCCATTTCATTTTCATTGGGGGGCAAGATCCCTACGTACCACGCGTACTCCGTATGAAGCCCTAAACCCTAAACCGTAAGGAACCCTAAACCCTAAACCCTAATTCGATCACCTGCCAAGCACCAGGGAGTCAAGTCTCCTTGTCATCTGCATTAGGAGGGTCTTGCGCCGTCTCGTTGACCTTTGCATGAACTACTGTAAATAGGATAGGGTATAGATTAAGGGTGTAGTCGGGAACAAGGGTATATGCAATGTAAGGATTAAATGGTGATGATATTCCTATACTCCCTACTAACCACCCGTAAGATGAACAACTGTAACGAATTTTGATCACGCACGCAGCGTCGCCAAGCCAGCGACGGTCAAAAAATCTATCTGGGAGCCATCTCGCTTGTCGAATATGAGCTTGTTTGCCACCTCCGGCACAAGTGGGGGTTTCCAGTCACGGGTGTCCTGCTACCTGATGTACCCCCCAATACGGCCATCCTGTTATCTGTACGTAATACTTTTCGGAAGCCCCCATGTTTGCCGCAGAAACCGGGCGCTTGCACAAACAACAGGCCTTTGACACGACAATGTCCCAGGAGTAAACAGACCTGCATGCAAAGCACTGCAAGCAACCCGCAAATCGAACACCTTAATTATAGAGGCAGGGGCTGGTAACACCTTAATTATGGAGGCAGGGGCTGGTATGGAGGTTGTAGTTAAGAAGCCCCTTTTTTACGGTCGCCATGCGCTCCC